GTGGCGCACGAGCTGCGGGGGCTGTCGCTGCAGGCCGGGCCCTGCCTGCCGCCCCTCACCGAGCGCAAGAATGGTGAGTGCGTGCGTGGGGCCGGGGCGCGGAGCCGCGTGCGGCGGGGTGCTGCCAACTCCGGCCCGGAGCTACAGCCGCCAGGACGGCTCTTGGAGCAGCAGCGGCCACTCTGGGACCTAGAATGGAGTTGAGCAGATTTTTGAGTAGTTTTGAAACTACAACTGGTGTATACTACAAGTATTGATGAAATATTTTTGAGAGTTTTATTATTATCTGACAAAAATTATTATTTTCAATAATAGGCGTTTTTTTTCTGCATAAATAATACATAATTAATGTTTTGCATTCTATTAAGTTTAATTCAATATTGGTATACTTCTGGAAAACTTGTTTTTCCTTAATTTCCTGTAAAACCAGAATGGATGAGGTGGGTCTCTGTGTCCTGTCAAACCTCCAAAGCAGCCAAACTACTGCTCATCTATAAGTTCAGATTCAGTAATTTTGGTTAATTTGGTTAGAAACTATTTTTCATAGAAATTATCAAAGAAGAAAATTTATAAAAGTGAACTTTGAACTTGATGGATTCTAATTAAAAGTAATTTTAATAATATTTTTACTTCTTACCAAAAATTGGATATTTGCAAGAGTATTTTGGCATGTCACTACTTTATAAAGTCTGTAAGCGTAAGAGACTGCAGTTCACAGAAATACAGTGGCACTTAAAAAAATACTGACATCTTTAAGGGTATTTTTCTGGTAGGATATTTTTATGCAGGAAGCATTATGCTTACTGTGAGCTTTGGTAGTGATCCTTTAAACCTTTTGTTTACTTGAATGAGTCTTTGGCAGTAGTCCAGTAGGAGGCTGAACTGTTCTAATGTTGTTCTGCAGTGTTGTTAAGCTGACTTGCACAAGTTAGTACAGAAACTGTGTTTCCAGCTTTTCCAATGTCACTGCAAGGGTAGGAGGCTTCTGCTCTGGTTTGGTTTTGTTTACCATGAAGGTAATCACAGCATGCCTGGTGAGCCAGCAGTCACTGGAGCTGTTACTACCTTCTCCTTTTTCACATTTTCCTCCTCTCCCCTGCCCTCTGCCCCAGAGATCCCAGTCACAGAGCAAAGCAGGCATAAGAGTTCAGGTGGGCAGAGCTCGGTGGGTTTGCTGCAAATTCTCAGGGTTAGCTTAAGCTCCAGTGGAATTATTGTCCCTTGAGTTTACAAAGAAACATTTATATGCTGTGCCAACTCTGTTGAAGAGGTTTTAACTTCCAGCAGAGGATCAATAACAAAACAGTTGGAGTGCATTAGGAGCTTAAGATTTTCTAGTTACTACGTGCAGGTATTTACTCGCTGAACAAAGACAAATGGACAATTCTGGGAGGTGGATGTTGAATGTCGGTCTCCTGGGCTGTCACAATTTTAAGATTCTCTCATTTCATTTAAGCTGTTTTCAAGTTCATGGCTGTGGACAATACTGTATTGCTAATGAAACTAATTTCAAGTTCTCATTAGTCTGCATCTCTCTGGATAATTAGGCAGCACATACAGTGCATTGATCATGTAAGCCTGTGCTCTGTGTGTTGCAGTGGTTTATCATGCCTGTCCTCTGGAGGCCAACTCTTGCTCCACTTGCTAAAAAGCAGCAGAAGTTCCTATTTCATTGGTTCTGCTCTTCACACTTGTCACTTCCTGAGTGATGACGGAGATGTGTCTGTGATTCTGGCAGTCTCATGACAGTGTGCAGTCCCTCTCATGAGCAGTGGGGCTGCTCACATACATGGAGTTTGGGAAATAGGCTCTGCGTTTGCATCCTTGCCTGAAGGATGCCAGGTTGGGTCCAGTGTATGTGCTTTTTAGGCAAAATGCTGTGTCCCTAGGAAGGACAGCTTGGGGGAAAAGAGACATGGATGAGGCTCTTTGGAAGCAGGAGGGATAAGACTGATGCCTGGGTGTGGAGTTGGACTGCAGTGGAGGGAGGCTGACAAGAGTAGCAGCAGCGTGGCACAGCCCGAGTACCAGTCAGAACAATGTGCTGCCCACACACTGTACCACAGTTTCACGAGCTTCTGTCTGAGAGCCAGGAGGTGGCAAGGGAGGGAAGGATATGCTGTCTGCTGCTGACAGCAGGAGGGTGGATGGGAATGATGCTGCCTGCAGCTTTCCAACCTGCTGTTTCAGAGCCAAATGATGGGAAGGGATTGCACATGTAGATACCATCAAAAAAAGGAAACAGTGCATGACCAGAGCTTTTTTGCATGCTGAATTAGTATTTTTCCAGAACTGTTGAGCATGCCACTTTGGCTGGAAGAGGGAGCTGTGAAGGGCTGGGTGTGAAGAGCCATGCAATTATTTCAAGGTACATGTAAAATAGAAAGCTGCTAGCTTGTGTTTTACAGCAACCTCTCTTGGCTCTGCGGTGGCTTCCTTGATTATCTCATTGTGCCAGACTCTGCTTGTGACAGTGGCTACTAGTTTTTGAAAAAGAGATATGTAAGTTGCTCTTGTGCAGTTGTCGTCCACAGGTGGGAGCCTGGTTATATTCTTGTAAATGGGTGGGTAAGTGGCTGCCACCTGTCCAGGCCATTGACTGCCCTTCAGTTCTGCCCTTTGGCCATAAATCCTGTCAGAAGAGGAGGGTGCCTATTCCCTGCCTCTTGTGTGATGTGGAGAAGCAATTCTGATCCAGGCAGTGAGGGCTGTGAGGTGTCTGCTCCTCCAAACTCACAGCCAGCATAGGAATGGGATTGCTTCTGCTTCTCTTTGGGGTTGTGCATCATGAACTGGAAGAGAGTAAAGAAGGTAGTGCTGTTCCTCCCATAGCTGGCAACAACTGTTCTCCAGCAGAACTGGCTAATTGAGAGAAGAACCAAGGAGTTTGGATGTTCAGCAGGAAAAAAGCCTTGGAACAGTGAACATCTTAAAGTAAGAGCAAGACTGGTAAAATCTCAGTTTGGAGAAAACAGCCTAAAGAAAGCAGTGCCCCTGGCTGTGTAAGAACAGGGACACTCAGGAGCAGAGACCCTGAGGCACAGAAGATCAGGTGAGAATTGCAGCTTCCTATGGGGCTGGGGAGCTTGTGGGGAAGGAACTGTGGGGAATTCAGGGGGAGATGGAACACACACACACACACACACAAAACCCAACACAAACCCAAACAAGAACAAATACTCCAAATGGTGTATATTGAGTCCTCCTAAGGGACCAGTCTAGTCAGCTGGGAGACAGAGTTCTTAAAATAACTGTATGAAATCGACATCCCACTTAACCTAATGGTATTACTTAAATAAATTTGATGATCCAAGGGATTTTTTCTGGCATCTAAGAGTTGTGGTATATTAGTTTGCCTGTTATCTCTTATCTTCAACTCCCTCAGTATGTAGCACTGGTAATGTGCATTCTTGGCATAGTTTTATGGCTTCTGAACAAATTCTTAATCCTCTGAGCAATTAATAGATTTGAACTGCAAATTTGATATTAGGGAATCAGGTGAGATTTGGGATTCTCCTTGCATTTGTGTATGACAGGTTTTTCTCCACTTCTCTAAGATCAGTGATTAGGTGTGTTTTTTTCCTCTTGTAATGATATATAGGTAGGTCACTGTGCTTAGAATTTAGGTTTTTGAGAGAGTTGGGAGAAAAGGTACACTACACAGTCTAGAAAAGGTGGCTAGTGGAAAGTCTAGAGAACAACAAATGGAAAACTTAGTTATGATTAAAAGTAATAGCTTTGCAGGGAATGTAATTGAAAATGTCATCTTAAATTCAGCAGTTTCATAATCACTAAGCTGAAAGCAGTGAGATCTGGAAAACAGCACGCAGATATTCTGATTAACAGTACCACCACCACCAATAACATTAGCAAACCAAACATAAAAATCCCCCACAAACCAGAGCTCAAAGGAAGTGTATCCTGAAAGACCTATCTAGATAAAGAATGGCACAATCTAGATAAAGAAGTGCACAATTTGTGTAAGTTCACAGGAGAAATGTGTGTGTGCATTTATAGTATAGTGCATAAATAAGGTGTGTGTGTGTGTATGTGTGTACACTGGTGGCCTGGAGAGGCTGTGGAATCTCCACCCATGGAAATACTAAAAATCAGACTGGGCACTGTCCTGGGCAAGCCTGTTCCAGCTGATCCTGCTCCAGCAGGGCTTGGGCCAGGGGATCTCAAGAGGCTGCTGCCAGCTTTAGTGATTCTGGGGTTTGTCTTTCTGCTAAGGTTTTAATAGACCATGGAACATCCAATGCAAATATTCTACTAAATAATCTTTGCTAAGAACACACAGCATATTGTAATTAAAATATGTTTTTCTTTATGCTTTGTTTTTGGTTTGTTTTTTTTTTGAGAGTGCTCTGTTTTTGGGGGGAATTTGTTTTTGGGGTTTTGTTTGGTTTTTTAACACATCAGTAGAAAAAACACATCTCTTGGTCTCCTTTTAAATATTTGAATGTCGCTCTATCTCTTCCAAGAGGAGGGTGCAAACTGAGTAGGTACTGATTTCCCAGTAAGTCTGTCTTTGTCATTGGTACTGCCAGTTCCCACAATCCTAGCATTCCCAGGCCATCAGTCAGTGTCTACAAGGAACAATTTTCAAATATTAAAGCATGTGAAAAGACATACAAGCCAAAACTCAGAGATCTCTAGGGACTGTGACCTCTTAAATGGAATATATTCTGACATTTTCACAGGCTACATGAAAGAATTCCAGCAGGGTCATTCCATTTGGTAAACTTCTAAACAAACATTCCATCATTTTAGTTTGATTTATAGATATTATTTTTTTTAATTATCTGCTTATTGTGAAGAGATTAACAAAGGAGACATGACCTGTGACTGACTTAATTCAAGGCATCTGGTATATATGAATTGCTGTTTGAGGGCCTGGCATTTGAGTGATTACAGGAGATACAGAAAGCATGTTTTCCTTTAAAAAGATCACTTGATCAAACTTATTCAGATCTTATTCTGACCTTTTTTCTTGAAATTCCTTGTGTATAACTAAATGCATAGCTAGAAAAGAATGTTGAGTTAATTTTAAATTCCATTGTACAGTTGTTTTAAGTTGTTAGAACTAAGTCCTAACTGCAAATGTTGTGGTTGAAATGTCAGCTTGTGACAGAGCCACTAGAAGAAGGTAACACGGAGCAAACAGGAGTGGTAATTGGTGTGCAGCACTTTCCACCTTTTGCAAATCAAAGCTAGCACAGTGGATGACTAAGTATTGTCCTCTACAGGATAGATATATATATATATATATATACGCAGTTAAACATAGATCTGTATAGTTAAACATACAAAAATGCGTATTTTTATGTACTTTATATGCACATTTTTAAAATATTTATTAATTTAGATATGTATATGGGCAAGACCAAATGGAAGGTAGTTTTCATTTAAGCAGTGAACACTGCCAACATATGTCCTCCCTTAAAAGGAATTTGTGTGGGTTTTAGTGGGAGAAGTAGAACATACAGACTTACAAATTTGACATCACTGTAAATGTTTGGTATTTTTCTGGGAAGGGTGACTGAGGTAGATGGTGACCATTATTTATGTTGTTTGGGTCTTGGTTGCAACAGTGGTGGAGAATACAGGCAGAACAGAACTCCCCCAAAACAAATCCCCTTAATTAATAATTTGAAGTAATGTTCTTAATGTTTATAGAAGTAATAGAATAAATTATAATAGGGGTTTTGTAAACTGATGTTTTAGTTTGTGTAGTCAGAGCACTATTTTCCTATGCGAAGAAATTAGTACACAGTGATCAAGAACTAGATTATCCTAACACAATACAAAGGTCCAATATATTAACCAAGGTGTATGTAAGGCCAAGGTGAAATAGATATTTGAGTAATTAGGCTTTTTTCCCACTTGAAAATGTTATTGTGGTAGTGAAAGAGTTTAAACACCCGAGGGAGTTTGGTTTGGTTTTGTTTTTCTTTTTGGTGGGATTGCAAAGGAATGAGTTCCATATGATGTGAAGAGTTGGAATGTACTGTTAAAGTAATTGTTGCTTAGTTACTTGATGTTTAATAAGGTTGGGAAGCAGCTCCCAGTCAGTGATGTCACTCAGCAGATCACTGATGCTTCACCCAGATAAGGGGTCTGCTCTGAGGGGCAGACAGCAGGCACTGGGGAGGTACCATGGGGCTGCATTGCTTCCTCCTGTACTTTGGAATTTTGGCTAGTATCTACTAGACACTTCCACTTTAAAAATAACACTTTTTCTGTAGGCTGAAGGTTGGCAGAACACTTGGAAGTCTGTGTTGCAGAAGAGTGGAAGGAGCAAGCATTGATGACCTTAGATGTAAAGCAAACGTTTATGAAAAGTTTGTGCAATACATTGCCATTAAATGAGATGTTACTGGACTCTGGTTTATGGAACTGACGGAGATGTTCCATTCCAAGGCCTTTTTTCTTCCTTTCACCCAGTCATGCAATATATTCAAATTAAATTTAAATTCAAATGAGAGGTACTTGTGCCCTCTGAAAATACTTCAAATTTTAACAGATTTAATTTTCACTGAAACCAAGAGCTTGTTGTATGTTTTTTACTTCAGCCTCTGGTTTGGATACACTGATGCAGTGTAACAGAGTTTAAACCTGTAATTGAAAAATACAGCATGCACAACTCAAGATTTTCTTTCAGCTGAAAGAGATACTTTGGTTTTGTTGTTTGATAGAAACCAGTCTCTCAGCTGCAGTTTTGTTTCTAGGTCATTATAGGTTTCTCTGTGATCCTCAGAGTCATTTTGCTATTTGTAATGTTAAAAACAGCTCTTTTGAAACAGGTACATGCTCAAATTGCAGAGGTTTTAAGTCCAATGTTTAGTTTGGAAATGAGTAGTTCTGTCTCTTACAAAACATCTCTATTTAAATAGTCACCAGCAGAAAGAGAATATGAAAAAATTGCAATTCGAAAAAGTTTTTTGCCTTTTTTTAGCAATGCTATCAATTTCAAATGACACTCCAAATTCCAGCTCACTTTTAGACACTGAACACAAAATCATTTCAAACTCTGAGTGGAGATCCCAAGCAAGATCCCAAGCTTTTTCTGTCCCTAATTTATATTGCATAATTCATGAGTTGTTCTATTAATTGTATTACTGCTAAAATAAAGAGTCGTCAAAGAACAAACAAGTTGCTATTGTTCCACTAATACTTACTCTACTTTTTGTGGTAGGCCAAAATGGGTGATTTGAATAGGAAAGTATTAAGTTGCCACCTATAAACTCACCATTTCTTTTAAGGTAAATGTGAAATTAGGGTTGTTTAAACCAACAATGAAAGTAACTGAAACACAAAGCAGTTTTTGTCTGTCAAAAAATCTTCAAGGCAGATACTGCCCAAACATAGGCAGTGTGTTTAATGTTTCGGTGTGGTGTTGGTGGCTCATGACAGAACTTCTACTGTTTCATAAGAGCTTAAAAAATTACCATCAGATTTGGAAGTGCATGAGTAAATTTGAGGAGTCATTGTGGTGCTTTAGCAGTCAAAGGTAAGAATGTATATGAACCATTCCAGAGGAGTTACAAATTTATTTCATTTGGCAGGGAAGAGGGAGTTCTTAAGTGGCGGGTGGGTCAGCACTGGGGTAACAGGCAGCTCTCTGTCTTGGTTCACATGGGACCTGCTCAGGACACCTTTGAACACCTGGGTATTGGTAGTGAGAAGGTGAATTTAGTACTGGAAAGTGCTAATAGCGTTTCTGTTCCTTCTAGTACAGCTCTTAGGAATGTTGACATGGTCCATCATAAGAACATGCACCTTTCCCACATTGCAGTGCTGTGGAGCTGGGAATTGTGAGATGCCCCTGGGTACCTGTGAAACTGTCTCAGAGTTTTAGACTTTTCCAACAGACATGTTGAGACAATGAGTAGTTTTTGTTTGAAGCCTTATCACTAAAAATACAAGAACTATATCGTTGCACACTCAAGTAACCAATTATCAATTGAGTTTGGATTGATATATATTCGAGACTGATGGGAGAAACAAGAGGTTGTTGGAGTAGGAGTATTTTTTCCTGATGTGGGAGATAAATGTTATTCATGCAGGGATTTAAAAGAAACTTTTCCCTGAGCAGAATATCCAGATATTCTCAATATTCACAGTATACCTGAATCTGTAGGAGAACTATTTCCTTCTTCAGAGGCATTTTTTTTCTCTATTTGTTCACCTAGATATTTCATATTGTACAGCATTTACTGGCAACAGCAATATTTGGTTACATGAAAAACACACAGCATCATTTTGACCATTCATCTCTCCTGGTCTGTACAAAAATTTCCTCATTCTTATTTTTTCATAAATTCTATGATTTCTGCTTTTTCTTTCTAAAGATTTTGCATGTTGCTGTTGAAATTTTGATCAGACTTCTTAAAGGTATTTTAAAATATTCATCTCTGTGTTAAGTTTGTATTGAATTAAGAGGTGAAGTTGAAGCACAATATGAGGTATAACTCCAGGTAGCTGAAGCGCATTGATCTGTTGTGGGGTGGCTACCCTTGGAAAGGGGCAGGAGTGGATAGCACAAACTCCTGGCTAAACTCATCTTTCTGAACAAGAGAAATGCTCCTGAAGGCTTGAACTGCTCCCACCCAGCTGCTGTTACTGTCATCAGCTTTCATCTGGGCACAGGGAACTCTCAATTTATATAAAGCACTATAAACGGATAGGAATGGATAGAACTTCCTTCAGAAATATGGTGTTTGAAGGAAAATGTCTTCCTCTGCGTTCTTTAATTATACACTTCCTCATTAGAACATGGAATTTTTTAAATTTCAAAATACTCTGTTTTCTGAATCATTGGGAAATCACTTCAGACTGTGTGAAGTGCACTGTACCCTTTCCATAGAACAATTTCTCCTGTTCTGTATTGCTATACTGTTAGAATATAATCCATCCATCTGAACAGTTAACTTCTCTCTTGGTACAAGAAAAATGTGGAGTTATAATCTGTTATATTAGTAAGTGTGTAAGATTCTGTTTATTTACTGTGTCAGAGTTTAATACGTGTTTAAGTTTAAGCAGTAAGTGTTTGTATTCTGCTTGTCTGAGTTTTTATTTTCTGAATGTGTGCAGTTTCTCAACAATAATTTTGTTTCTTATGCCCAGTAAGTGTTCAGCTGCAGGCAGTTAATTTGATTTATGAAGGAGCTTTTCCACAGTACTTTTTTTTCTTGTTTTCAGTAAAAATCACTGCAAAAGCAAATGTATTGGAATAGTCTGTAACTTGTATTTAAGCAGAACATAATTTGAGCTGATAATTTTCATACAAATGATGTGCAGACAACTGATTATTAGGCTGGGAGAGTGGCCTCAAATCATTCATGCTGCAAAGAGTTTTTTGCCTGTATTGTCAGCTCCTTACATGTCAAGGGGTTGCTAAAGCCTGGTGAGCTCATGCCTCCTTCGAGTGTGCAGTTCTGAGCAGATCTAGGTCTCCCTTCTCCCAGCAGCAGGCAAACAGGGAGAGGCTTCCAAATCCTGCTGGCTGGGTCAGGCAGCTTCACACCCCATGGTATCGCTTCCCCTGGGAGCGCACTGTCAAGGGGAAGAGTCGCTGCTCAGTGATTGTCTTGTAGAAAGATCCAAAGAGGAAAAGATGGGGTTTTCTTTCTGGTTTCAACTTTTGAAAATTCTGTATCTGAATGTATATAGATACTTTTAATTCTGATTCTATAGAAGTGAAATATTTTTTGTGAATGGAGACGTCCTTTATAATTTTGGATTGGAAGATTTAAAATACAAAGTAGATGTGTGGAAAATGTGTGCAATGATAGCATTTTTAGGCCAAAGGGAAGGGAAAATACACCTGCCAGAGTTCCTAGCTGACATGTAGAGACTCTTTAACATTATGTATAGTTTATTTTCTCTAAGTACAGGAAATTAAATGCAGACTCGTCTGCTGTTCCCTCATGGCCAATGCCGGGTAATTAGAGGGGATCCATTTCCCTGAAATCTTCCAGGTTGACACTGAAGTTGATGACTCATGTAAGATAAATGGGATATGCTGCAGAGAATGGCACATCAGAAGCTGTGGGAGGAAATACTCCTGAAACTGCTGGGAATAATGAGATGTGTAACTAATGCGAAAAGGAAAATAATAAAATATTCGGGGCTTAGATATTTACAACAAGGAACCGAGTCTCTCATACTGCAGGGAAAGGCATGGAAATCATCACTGTTTTTCCCAGTTACCTCTGCTAGATAAATGTCTCTGGAACCAGACCTAGGGTTTGGGTGGGTGGGAAGGTTCTTTAACATAACTTTTTCAAATGCCACTGTGCAGCTTTGTTTACTGGTGAAACTTAATGAGTAATGAATGTGCCGGTCAGGCAAAGATGAAGTATTTCTGCTGCCTGCAGCAGTGTTCCGAGGAGTGGGGGCAGGGAGAAGGAAGGGGAGAAAGGGAGAGAGCCCTCAGCAGCCGTTTGTCTTAGGTATCAGCGAATGCTGCTCCAGCAACTGCTGGATTTATTTTTAACCGCTTGACTCATTCTTTGTCAGATGATTGACCACCGAGCTGCATACTGAAACACCAATGTGCAGAGGAAGCGAGCGTAGCTAAAGGCACAG